TCACCCTTTAATCCCGAGCTACTGGGATTATAGGCATGCACCACTGCGCCTGGCCCAGCTTCCTTTATTTACTACAGTGATATAACTGGAAGTTTTTAATTTTTGGAACATGAGAATTCTAAGAATAAAATATGTGAGCCAGGCGTGGTGGTGCACACCTGTAATCCCAGCAACTCAGGAGGCTGAGGCTGAAAGATTGCAAGTTCAAAACCAGGTGGCTAAGCACCCCTGGGTTCAATCCTTGGAACCAAAAAAAAAAAAAAAAAAAACCCAAACAAATATGTAATATGAATAAAAGAGAAAAAATATTGTGGTACCTGGGATCATCTCATTAGTTAAATGGGGGAGAGAAAAACATGTGAAAAGTCTAGTTTGGGCCTTGGGACATAGTTCATTGGTAGATCACTTGCCTAGCATGTGCAAGAACCCTGAATTCAATCTCTAGTACTGCCAAAAAAAAAAAGTCTGGTTTTATGAGAGTGTTTTTTGTTTATATATTTGTTTACTCTGCTAAAATATCCTTAGAAAGAGAAATTAAATAAAAATAGCTCTATGGTAAATTAAAATGTCTTCATAGTAAAAGAGTTATAACTCCTGACTATGTCAAAAAAAATAGTAATAGTGTCTACCTCAAAATATCATTATGAGGATTAACTATGCCATAAATTGTAAAACACTCAGGATAGTGCCTGGCTCACAGCAAGCACTCAATAAGTTAAATGTTAGCTTTTGAACCCAGGGGTGCCTTATCACTGAATTACATCTCTAGCCCTTTAAAAATTTTTTTAAGACAGGGTCTTGCCTAGTTGATTAGGCTTTGCTGAGTTGCTGAGGCTGGCTTGAAACTCCTGCCTCAGCCTCTAAAGTCGCTGCAATACCGTGTGTGCCTCTGTGCCTAGCTAAATGTTACTTCTTATTACCATTATTATGTAATATTGAAAATTCTTTTCACAAGAAATTTTATTAGAAAATTCTCAATAGGCCATGATCTCCCTAGCATTTAAAAAATAATATTGCCTGATTTTTGTTATTTACTAAAGATTTGTCTTTGCCAACTATATTAATCTTAAGTCTTTTAGTAAAATATCAGTTGCTGATACAATGTCACAAGGGAACGGGCTGTAGTCATTTAAACATGATATATTTATCAGTGACTACTGTATGTTAACCTAGCTCTTAAAAGCAGTAGGTACTTAATTATAGAAAGAATTTCTTTTTTTCTTTAGACTAATTCCTACCACACTGAAATCCTTTGGAAATTGGAAAAACTAGAAAGTTCACCTTTCTTCTTCAAGCTGTGAATTCAAAGGAAGAGGAAAGTAAAGACTGGATTAGCTGCATAACCCAAGTCAAATCTTTATTAAGACTATTTTACTTAGTAGTGCACAGGTGTTCACAAATAGTTCCTCTGTGTATCATACCAAGAAGCTCTCCTCTTCATTAATGACTAGAACGACTGCTCTCCAGTCTCATCTTTGAACCATTCTTGCCAACTCTTCGGTTTACTCCCCTGTCTCAGTTTTCTGCTTGGCTATTCTTTATTCTGTCCTTGTATTGGCAGGTCATTTTACAAAGTCATGCATTTCTAGATGTATGGGTTTCACTTAATTATCCAGTATCCCTCAGTCATTTCTTCTAATGCAAGGAATAGCTAATCTCCCCCATTTTCCTTGTCTTATTTCAGATTATGAGTCCAGGGACAATGATATGGAGCTCATAGTAAAGCAGATTTCTGATGAAGCAGACACCCATTGGATGGCATCAGGAAGCCCTGAAAGGAATGCACCCCAGAGTCAAGAGTTTGCCGAAGTTAGTGACCTTAAAGGAATGGTACAGAGGTGGCAGGTAAACCCCACTGTGGGGAAATCCAGACAGAATCCTTCCCAGAAAAGAGAACTTGGTGTCAGCACAGCCATTAACCGTAAGCAGAACACAAATGGTGAGAGGGGCCACAGATGTACCGATTGTGGGAAATTTTTCCTTCAAGCTTCAAACTTTATTCAGCATCGACGAATCCACACTGGAGAAAAACCATTTAAGTGTGGTGAATGTGGGAAAAGCTATAATCAGCGCGTGCACCTCACGCAGCACCAGAGGGTCCACACTGGCGAGAAACCCTATAAGTGTCAGGTGTGCGGCAAGGCTTTCCGGGTGAGCTCCCATCTTGTGCAGCACCATAGCGTCCACAGTGGCGAGAGGCCCTATGGGTGTAACGAATGCGGGAAGAACTTCGGCCGCCATTCACACCTGATCGAACACCTGAAACGCCACTTCAGAGAGAAATCCCAAAGATGTATGTGTGAGGATTTTGTACTTGGGGAATAAATGGAGGCAAAAATTGTTTTATGAACTTGTTACCACAGGGCAGATAGATTGTGATACTGGGAACAGTAGGAAGGGGCAAAGATGAATAGTTTTTTATTCTTATTTAAACTTAAATTATCAAGTTGACAGGCAAAACCCACTACTGAATAACTCACCTTTCCCTACATTTATCTGCTCCAGGTCTTACCAGTTTCTTTGATAATTCCATTTTGCATACTAATACCGCTATCGCTTGACTCATGCACAGACATTATCTGTAGACTTTATATTGTAGTAAATGAAGATTTTGGTTCTCTTACATGATTCTTTGTTGGTTTCCCCTTCTTGCAGTTTAGTCATTTCACTCATTTTATTTTAAAATGATAAAATAACAGTTGTGTAGGAAGTTTGGAGGAAAGTAGGAGGTAGAAAAAAAATTACCCGCATAATCCCATCATCCTAATCAAGAGAACTATTATTATTTAGTGTGTTTCCTTCTCTATTTTTCATGAGTCTATTTTACATAGTTGTACTCACAGGATATAATTATTAGACATATACAATATCCAGTGTTGCTTAGCCCTCCTGTTTATTTTTGACAACCTGCCATTGTTGACATTATAATTTATCTAACTGTTCCTCAATAGTTAAACTTCTAATATCTTCTTCTTTGTCCTAATAATTGTGTTATATCTGTGAATTTTCCTGTATTTAGGATTATTTCCTTATTATAGATCATAGACGTGAATTAGTAATCAAAAGACAAAATATATTTCTATGGCTCTTGATTTGGGAGGCTGGGGTTGTAGCTTAGTGGTAGAGTGCTTGCCTTGTATACATATCACCAAATTGCTTCTTCGTTTTTTTTTTCCTAAGCAGTGCTGGGAGAGAATCTTGGTCCTTGTACATGCTAAGCAAGCACTCAATGACAGATCCATATCCCCAGCCCTATTTTTTGTATTTTATTTAGAGACAGGATCTCACTGAGTTGCTTATCGCCTCACTTTTGCTGAGCCTAGCTTTGAACTGGCAGTCCTCCTGTCTCAGTCTTCTGAGCCTCTGGGATTATAGGTGTATGCCATAGTGCCCAGCCCCAAATTGCTTCTTTTTTTTTTTTTAAATATATTTTTTAGCTGTAGATGGACACAGTATCTTTATTTTTATGTGGTTTTGAGGATCGAATCCAGGGCCTCATGCATACAAGGCAAGCACTCTACCAATGAGCTACAACCCTAGCCTCCCAAATTGCTTCTTAAAACAATTGTACCACATGTGGGTTTCAGTTTTATTAATTTTTTACCATAGTATTATTTTTTGTTTGTTTATTTATTTATTTATTTTTAAAATTTTATTTATTTTTTAGGTGTAGATGGACACAACACAATTCCTTTATTTTTATGTGGTGCTGAGGTTCAAACCTGGTTCCTGCCTGTGCTAGGAGAGCACTCTACTGCTGAGCTACAATCCCAGTCCTATTTGTTTGTTTTTTATTGGGGATTGAATCCAGGAATGCCATAACTCTGAGCTATATCCCCAGTTTAATTTTGAGACAGGGTCTCTCTAAGTTTCCCAGTCTGGCCTCTAACTTGTCATCCTACTGTTTTAACCTCCCAGGTTGCTGGGATTATAGGTATGTGCCACCATTCCCAGCCTTAAAATATTTTTTTAACAAGATGAATAAGCAGAGAGTTTTTTTTTTTTTCTTTTTTTTTTTGTCTGTGTGGCACTGGGCATTGAATCCAGTGGATCCTCTACCTCTGAGCTTTATTCTGAGCCCTTTTATTTTTTCCTTTGAGACAGTGTCTCACTGAGTTGCCCAGTTTAGCTTTGAACTTGCAACCCCCCTGCTTCAGCCTCCTGAGTTGCTGGGATTATAGGCATGTACCACAACATTGAGCAGTTTTCTATTTTTATTCCTATTGGCATTAAGTATCTACATGTACCCCCCTTTGTTACACCTATTACATCATAATTTCATCTGATTATCCTCTTTTTTCCTGTTATTTTTTGTTTTGTAAAAGAATTGATGACATTTCTGTTTTTTTTTTTTTAAGGTAATGACAAAAGAAATAAGAATACAAAATTGAATGTTAAGAAGAAACTAGAACTTTCAGAAGCAGATATAGAACTATCAGGAAAAATCCAGAGGAATGCCTCTCAAGTTCAAGGTTTTGGAGAAGGCTATGAACACCAAGGCAAGGCAGATAGAAAGCAGGGAATTCCCATGAAAGAAATTTTAGGACAACCGTCTTCAAAGAGGATGAATTGTAGTGACGTCTCCTATGTCCACAAAAAATCCTCTACAGGAGAAAGACCACATAAATGTAATGAATGTGGGAAGAGCTTTATTCAGAGTGCACATCTCATTCAACATCAACGAATACACACTGGGGAGAAACCATTTAGGTGTGACGAATGTGGAAAAAGTTACAATCAGCGTGTGCACCTTACTCAACATCAGCGAGTTCACACTGGTGAAAAACCCTATACTTGTCATTTATGTGGGAAAGCATTTAGAGTGAGGTCCCATCTTGTTCAGCATCAGAGTGTGCACAGCGGGGAGAGGCCCTTCAAGTGTAATGAATGTGGGAAAGGCTTTGGGAGACGGTCACACCTTGCTGGACATCTACGACTTCACTCAAGGGAGAAATCCCATCAGTGTCATGAGTGTGGGGAGATCTTTTTCCAGTATGTTAGCCTAATTGAACATCAAGTGCTCCACATGGGTCAGAAAAATGAAAAAAATGGCATTTGTGAGGAAGCATATAGTTGGAACTTGACAGTGATTGAAGATAAGAAGATTGAGTTACAAGAGCAGCCTTATAAGTGTGATATATGTGGAAGAGCTTTTAATTACAGTTCAGACCTTATTCAGCATTACAGAACTCATACTGCAGAGAAAATCCATAAATGTGATATATGTAGAGAAAATGTTGGCCAGTGTTCTCACACAAAACAACATCAAAAAATCTACTCCAGCACAAAATCCCACCAGTGTAATGAATGTGGAAGAGTCTTCACTTTGAAGTCACATCTTAATCAACATCAGAGAATCCATACTGGTGAAAAACCCTTTCAGTGTAAAGAATGTGGAATGAGTTTCAGTTGGAGTTGCAGCCTCTTTAAACATCTGAGGAGCCATGAGAGGACAGATTCCATAAACAATTTAAGTGTGTAGGTGTTTCTGTTGAAAAACAGCCCAACTTTTGCTGTTTAGCCCAACAGCCTTCCTGAAGAGAAACCTTAACTACTATAATGAGTGTGGTAATGATGTCAAGCATTTCTCCAGTGTAACCATCAAACCTATGGGTGTGTTAAATCCTTCAGTTAGAACTTGGCTTTAGGAACCAGGAGCATCACAATAAAGAAATCCCTGTTTGTTCTTCCCATTGAGCAGCACTTTGATTAGCATCCTCATGCTTGAAAGTAGACAAAAAGAATCTCTGAAGACACCCAATGAAGGATAAGCCTTTAGATGACAGTCTATTTGAGACTCAGAATATTGACACTGGGAAAAGCCTCATGAATGCAGTAGAAATAAGCTTTATTTGTAGTTTTGGCCTTGTTTGACCGTATATCTATTCAGGGAAGAGTGCAGTGAAAGAAAGAACTCTCTAGCATGATATCTGTTTGGTACCTCAGCAATGAACCTTTTCTAGAAATTATTATTCTACCACTAGAATACTCCATTGTTCTCATCTTGAGTATTAAACCCTTTGAAAAGAAATTGATTAAAGGTATCTCTGTTTTGGCAGATTGGGGTTCCGAGGCTGGATGGGATGTGTTCCTACTACCTTATTACAATTTCTCCATGAAACACTAACATTAGTTTTGATTCTACTGACAACAAGATTAGCTAGAGGAGTTAAATTTTAAGTTTATGAAAGACAGTGCTGGCCAAGAACATATTATGGTATGGGAGAGAAACCTTTGGGTGATTGAGAAGGCAGAACTATAGATGGTTTATATTATATTACAAGAAAAGGACAGCTAAATCCAAGTTGAATTAAAAACCTTGGCCCAAGCAATGTGTGTGTCAATCCTAGCTACCTTGGGAATAGATCTCCCCTATAGATAGGGTGATGACACGTAGAATGAGTTTACGTTGCAGCTGGAATTGAAAAATAGTAACAAGGAACAGAAAGTAACATGGTTGGTTAGCTCTGCAGTGTGGGAATGTCTTGTTATGACATGGATAAGAACATTGACTTGAACCTGTTTGCCAGAAAGGGCAAGAGTACTTCTGCTGATTTTGCCTGGTGCACAATAAGTACCCACTAAGTATTGTTAATTGGATGTGTAGCACATGGTGGTGTCCTGTCTAGACCCCTTGGCTACACTGTCACCTACCACTCAGCTGCTCTGTTTATTAGCTGCTAAGTGCTCACAGATCTGCTCCAGATACTGGGGATTTGTCCTAAGAAGATGGGAGCTGCTTCAATCAGGAGTTCTCCCCTCCACACCCCTAGCCACTGATTGATTGATTTGGGGTACAAAAGGTGGATTCCCTTGCCTGAATGGGGAAACTTAATGGTGTACTTTATGCTCCAGAACCTTCTTTGAGGATCAGACCGAGTCAACTTTAAGCCACATCCATACTTGGCTCTTTTCCTTTCCTATCTTCTCTTTTCCTCCTTCTTCAAGGGCTTTTCTTGAGGACTATGCCCTCCATTAGTTATTGACTCTGAAGCCCTGTCTCAGGCTGTACTGCAGAGAACTTGAACTTGATCTAAGATATTTGGTGCCATGAGTAGACCTAAAGAAGCTAAGAATGGCCTATAGAGGGCTGGGGGTGTTTGATCTGTTGTAATTTTGTATATTTGGTGTCCTATAGGCCTCTTGTATTTGATTTTCCAATTAACTCTTCATGCTTGGGAAATTTTCTGATATTATTTCATTGAAGAGATTGTACATTTCTTTGGTTTGAATCTCTGAACCTTCCTCTATCCCAATAAATCTTAAAATTGGTCTTTTGATGGTATCCTATAATTCTTGGATATTCTGTTCATGGTTTCTTACGATCTTCACTGTGAGGTCAACTTTATTTTCAAGGTTGTATATTTTGTCTGAGGTTCTGTCTTACAAGTGATCTAGTCTGTTGGTGATGTTTTCTATTGAGTTTTTTTTTGGGGGGGGGCTTATTGTTTCTTTCATTTCAAGAATTTCTATTTGTTTTTTCAGAATCTCTATCTCTTTCTTGAAGTAATCTCTTGCTACCCTTATTTGTTCTCTTATCTCTTTGTTGGAGTGATCAGTTTTTGCCTGTATCTGTTCACTTAGGTCATTCTTTAAGTCCCAGATCCTTTTAGTTATGTATATTCTGAACTCCTTCTCTGACATTTCATCTACTTTGCTATCTATGGATTCTATTGTTGTATTTTGGTTTGTTTGGGGCACTTTCCTCCCTAGTATTTTCATGATGTCTGTCATGTGTCTTCTTCTCTTGAAGTGTAGATTTGAGGTATTACAGCTTCTTCCCTATTGTCTTATAGTGTCCCTGCAGGTCATTAATAACTCACCTTTAAGGGGGAGATCAGTATTACAGCACTCAAGTACCCAATGTGCAGCCATAGATCAGTTAGCTTCTATTTTTACATTTACAGTTTTGTTGCTATAATTAGAAAGAATGATTTCGATTATCTTCTATCATATAGTCAATAGGTTTGCATAATGGTTTACAGTTTCTAATGGTGTGGGGGGGTACTGGGGGGTTGGCTGAGATGTTTATGACATAGAATGTGAGAATATAGACGTATTAGATTATATGACTCGTGAAAGGGTAATCATAAGAAATTGGCTGTCAGTAGGCGAAACGAGAATGGGAACCCCATGCAAGACTCCCTCTTATCTTAGCAACAGGATAACTTTTAGCACCCCTATTAGAGATGCCTCTGGTGTAGCCAGTCCCACAGGGACCTTGGTGATGTCTTACCAGGTCCTTATTGTTGTCCCTTGATAGAAGCAGTGAAATCCCAGTTTTGTGGCAGCAGCACCCTCAAGCCTATATGTACCCTGATATAGGGCTGTAGAACCATGAATAAGGAAACCCAGCATTGGGTGCCTCTCCACACAGGTGTGGGACAGGCCTCTCCCCAGGTCGATGGACTTCGCAGGGTGGGGCAGGCCTCCTCTTTCAACTATATATATATATTTTAAATATTTATTTATTTATTTTAGTTTTTTCGGTGGACACAACATCTTTGTTTGTATGTGGTGCTGAGGATCGAACCCGGGCCACACGCATCCCAGGCGATCGCGCTACCACTTGAGCCACATCCCCAGCCCCTTTCAACTATATTTTATTTGTTGATTTTCCTTCAATTTTAGCGATAGATCTCCTGAAATCCCATTCAGTCTTAGGTATTTTAAAATGGAGGAAATATTTTTGAAATCTGAGTCAAAGTTCTAATAGTGAGGAAGGAGAAAACAGTCCTACAAACCTTTGCTCATAGTGGTAGTATGAATCAAAATGAATGCACTCCAACAAGGTGGTGAAACTGAGAGCTAGGGCTGCTGTCAGGATCAGTCACTTATCCCTGATTTGGACAGGTCCTTGTGGGAATATTTTCCTGCTCCAATTCAGTTCTGGCAAAAGTAGAAAGATAGGGTTTTACTTTACATTTCTCAAATGATCCCAGCACCTTAAAATTTAATTTTTTTAAAAAATATTTTTTAGTTGCCTGTGGACCTTTATTTTATTATTTAAATGTGCTGCTGAGAATTGAATCCAGTGCCTCATTCACACATGCTAGGCAAGTGCTGTACCACTGAGCCACAACCCCAACCCCTCTGAAATTTTATTCTTAATGCTTTCCTACTTTATATCAACTAGGCTACTCAAGAATAAAGACTTTCTGGGTGCAGTGGCATTCCTGTAATCCCAGTGATTTAGGATGCTGAGACAGGAGGATGGCAAGTTCAAAACCAGTCTCAGCAACTTAGAGAGGCCCTAAATAACTTAGCAAGACTCTGTCTCAAAAAATAAAAAGGGCTGGGAATGTGGCTCAGTGGTAGAGTGCTTTCCTGGCATGCATAAAACGTGTGTTAGATTCCCAGCATCACAGGAAAAAAAAAGTGTAAAAACTGGCTGAAGCCAGGTGCAGTGGTGTATGCCTGTATTCCCAATGGTTCAGGAGGCTTAGGCAGGAGGATCACCAAGTTCAAAGCCATCCTCAGCAATGGCAAAATGCTAAGCAACTCAGTAAGACCCTGTATATAAATAAAATACAAAATAGGGCTGGGGATGTGGTTCAGTTGCCTAGTGCTCCTGAGTTCAATCTTCCATACCCTCCTCAAGCCCCCAAAACCTGGATGAGTGAAGTAGTGTTCTTTTGTACTGCCAATGACCCATGAGGCTGAAGCAGGAGGATCCCAAGTTTTAGGCCAGACTCAGCAAATTAGAGACCCTGTCTCAAAGTAAAAACTGAAAATGGCTGGTGATATAATTCAGTGGTAAAGTACTCATGGGCTCAATCCCCAGTATAAAAAACAGAAAAATAAAATTTTTATTTTTAACATAACATTTAACATGGTTCTTCATAAAGCAGTTGACATTTAAAAAATATTTGTTCAAATGGATACAGTATCAATGTTTTTTTTGCTCACTGGTAGAAAGTATAAAGTTCATTAAAGTTCATTCTAGGCCTGCTATTTCAATTCTTGCAAGGGCATGTCTTATATAAGTTAAAGAGATTTCACTATATTACAAATGTAAGGTTATATATGAAAGATCCAATGAGAAAGAAAACAGTATTATTTAAAATACACATTTCCCTGTGTAATAAACCTATTGCTTCAGCAAATTCTAAGATTTCATTGATCTGTTTACAGTGTATTCTATACAATTCATTTATTGCTTACTTCTTGTCTACTTAGCACTGACCTGTATAATGAAGTTTTTATTTGGTCCTCTCTCATTTAGTAGCTCTCAGTAAAAGAAACATCTTTCATGTGCTAGTGGCACAACAAGAAATGGAGTTGGACATTAGGTTTTAGCTAGCTGAATTTTTCACAGTGAAGTTCAGTCTATCATTGAATTTCAAAATTGAAGAGCCTTTAACATAGCTTATTTTATTTAGGGAAAATTTCAGACCTGGTGGGCTTACAGTTTTCACCCAAGACCACCCTGGTAACCAGACTCCTAATGGCCCAACTCACATTCTATACAAACCCTTCACTAGGAACCTTTGTGAGTTGAAGAGTTACCCCCCATAAATGAAAAAATCCACCTATGGTCTACAGTTTCTCGTTTAAAAGCCTCACAAAGCCCTAAAACTGAAAGGAAAATGGTTTTATACGCACAATCTTTCCTATTGCATCCAAAACGTTTTTTAATTCAATAGGCTTCATCCTGTAATTACCATTAGTGGTCGTCGGTTCTGGGAGGAACTGATGACGTACAACACTTTTGATATGTAATAAACCTGGGTACTTAAAAAAACTGGGGTCCTATGGAACTCCAGAAATTAGGGTGATTTCATCCAAGTCGCTGATACCACCAGTTATCGGTGATGAGTCCTGTTTCCCCACCTGTTGAAGTTTGAACATTAGAGAAGCATGCTGAGGCAAGCATATAAAGCAGGGTTTATTTAAAAAGGGGTAACAGACTTCTCCCAGGAGGGAGAAGGGGGCCATAGCTGGTATCCTGGTATCCCAAGAAGCAGGTGTTCTGCCCTTTTTATATGCCCCGGGCTTCCTGTGTATGTCACTAGGCCCAGGAATGCTCAGTGGGAGGGCCCAAAGTTGGGAAAAAAG